AGGGGGAAAAATAATAACGGCAAATGAAGATTATGAATGCAAATCAACTTAATAAAGAGACGGGGTCTGTGCAGGAGCCTTGTTTTGCTCTTGTACAGAAGGCTCGCATTGTCTGGTTGCGCTGCACCCCAGGTCTAATCACTACAAATTATATCAAGATAGGAAAAGAAAAGAACAGGAAAGCTTTAATTTCCCAATTATGGCATCGTTCGTTTCCTGTGCCCGCTGCTCTGCTTCCCCCCTCCTGCATCAGCCCTGTGCCAACACGCAGCCCCCAGACCCGCACCCACCGCCCCTCTGCCTGCTGCACATTCGCTCTTTCCCCTCTTTCCCATCATTTTTCCCCCTCTTTCCCATCACGTTTCCCCCTTCTCACCCTCCTGCTTTCCAGATGACGCCTGGCGCAGCAGAGCCCCGTGGAGGCACCACCCCAACGCCACCATCACAGCCCACAGCTGAGCCAGGACCCACGGGATGCTTCTCCCCCCCCCCCCACACACACACAGCAGGGATGGCCAGGGCTGCTCCTGGCACCTCCAGCACCGTGGGCACTCAGTCCTGAATGCCTTTGGGGTGGGTGAGGCGTGGAGCTGTGCTCTGCTGGAAGCTCAGCCCTGTGCCAGGAGGTGGCACGAGGTCCTGTGACCGCAGAGCAGCTCGGAATTGAAGCCACGGCACCGAGGGCGCTGCCCCATGGGGAGGCAGGAACGGGTGGCTCCTCCAAAACCAAGGGCAGCTCTGTTGAAATAGAGGCGAAATCGGGTCCCAGCTCAGCGTAAGGCAGCGCTCTGCTCTGCCCACGTCTCACGGTGCCTGGCACGGCGTCCCAGCGCCCACTGCTGCGCGTCCCCAGCCTCACCAAACCCAGGACCGGCCCTCATGTGGGCTCCGGGCTCTGCTCTGCGTTTTGTGGCCGATCCGGATGGCAGCAAAGCCTGCCCCCAAGCTGCACGTCGTTGCCAGGCCGCGCTCCCGGCGGTGCCATGGCAGCACGGAGCGCAGCCCTGTTATCTCCCTCCCACAAACAGCCCCGGCCCCCCCTCCCAAACAACATCCACCGAGAGCTGAGGCTCTGAGCGCAGCTCTTTAATCTCCAGCAAGCCTTTGACAACCTGTCTCGTCCCGGCTTTTAGCTGTGCGAGAGCTGCTCGCTAATGGAGCATTAACCTTGGAGAGCTTCTGCAATTACTCCAACACTAATTCTGACAGTTTTTGGTGTATCTGTTTGTTCTTTTGACAGGCAAAAGGAATTTCTTTTTAAAAGCTGTTTGATACATTTGAGACCTTCTGTCCACATCTCCCTTTTTTTTTTTTTCCTGCTGGATGTGAAGGTGGGGGAGAGGAGCGGAGGTGGGAGAAGCTGTTTTCCTCCTCACGCATCAGCGGAGGTGCGAGCTGAGATCTCTCCTCCCTCCCAGCTCCCCCCGCCCCGCGTTAAGTCACAGAAGAGTTTGGTCTCTCCTGACCTCATTAGGGTAATTAGTAAACCTTTTGAAGCTGGGAGAATGGCTGCGAGCTGTGGGAAAGTGAGGAGAGCAAAGAGCTCTGAAAGGAGCGCATGGAGGCAGAAAGGGGGAGAGGAGCGACTGCAGAGCACAGGGGGTGACCTGGGGGGGACCCCAAAGCTCCCTGAGCCGCCTTTGGAAAGGGGGGGGGGAGGGAAGAGCCCATCCCGGGGGTCCCAGCCCCACACTGCGGCACCCACTGAGCACAGAGCAGCAGCCATAGGCCCAGAGATTGCACTTGAGATTGCACTTTGGCTGTGCTGTGACGTGGGAGGGGTGGGAGCAGACGCACAGCACGCACCCCCAGCACTGCACGGAGCCCCAGCAGCGATGGCTGTGGAAAAGGGAAAGCTGCAGCGTGGGTCAAACGTTGGTTTTTGGTGCCCAGCGGGTTTGTCCCAACCAGAAATGGGAACTGTGCCACCCGTTGGCAGAGAGGAGGGCGACAACGTGCTCAGATGGGGCCAAGAAGTGAACCATTAAGGGCTATCTTGAGTATGTGAGGGTTTTTTCCCTTAAGAAGAGCAAGAGTAATGAACCAGCAGAACACACGAGTGGCGTAGCAGGGATGCTCCATCAGTCAGTGCCTTCCAACGAAGGTTGGCACCGCTTCCAGCAGAGCCACCCCAGGTACGGATGGGTAACAAGAGAGCAAAGGACCCCCACAGCTGTGGGTCACAGCGAAGGGGACGTCGCCACAGGGATGCATTGCAGCCACATTCAGTGCCACCACGGTTGGTTCACAGCCACGACCCGAATGGCAAACAGGAGCCAAAGGTTTCCTGGGAATCGGGCGCTGTGCCCCAGCAATCGGCCCCGACGTGTTTCGGATGCTAATTAACACCACCGGTAATTCCTGCCAGGCAGGGGTGTCCCGGCCCTGCTGGGATCCCACAGGTCCCAACCTGCAGCTTCACACAGGTGGACGCTGCAGCCCCATCCTCCCCCCAACCCTCCCCCCCCCCCCACCCCCCCCCGCGCCCCGCTTTGATCTGATGACGCAGAGAGGAGAAGCGCAGCACACGAGCTGCCCATCTCCTGTGTGACACCGGGCGCAGCTTTGCATGGCCACACATCAGCACAAGAATGGAGCCCCTTTCATGTCCTCTCAGCCTTAGATGGCAAAAAAAAAAAGCCACTGCGTGGGTTCCTCCTCCAATTAGCGCCGGCTCGCTTAAATTAATAAATAAGCAAACAAAGGATCGTTTTGTTGCTGCCGCCCGTTGTGATCATTCCTTTCCTTTATACTTTTATTCCCTGGTGTAACTTGAAAAGCAGACGCTCCTCTGTGCCCCCCTCTGCAAAGCCCCCCTGGAAAATCAGAATAACAAAAACAAGCGATGCTTGTTGATGGAGCGCCGTTTTGGATGGGGAGCCACTTCCATTCACCTTTCTGTCACGTAGAGGGGAAAATAAAGATCAAAAGAAGGATGGAGACGCAGAGCCAACCGAGCAAAGCTCGTTTCTTCTATGCAGAAAGATCCACAGGAGTTCTGCAGAGTGGAGCAGAACTGCCATAGAGGTGAACTGCAGCTGGATCCCGAATGCTTTGTGGTCTCCGGATGTATGGAGCGGTTTTGGAGCAGCTCTGGCGCAAGGAACCCTTCCGTTTGGCCAAGCACTGCAGGCCCCACACCCGCACTGCTCCTCACACACGCAGATCTGGGGCCTCTCTGTCCCCCCCCGGGGGCAAAGCACCACGAGCGTGGCTGTAAGGAACCGCGCAGCAGCGGCAGTAAATGGGAGAGCGAAATGAAAAGAGCTCGCCGGCACCCGGTGCGGCTCCGCTCCCATTTCAAGGAGGGAAATTTGCATCCGAAGCGTCAAGAGCACTTTAACTCGAGTTTGAAATAAATTCAGAGCAGCTTCACGCTGCCAGCTCGTGTCTGTGAGCGGAATCCCAGCAGTGCCAGCCCCAGCTGATTGCAGACGACGGGAAGCAGTGCTGAGTGTGAACACACATGCAGCAAATCCAGCACGCACAGGTCACAGCCATTAGTGTTCATTGGGGCTAGTCCCCTCACAGCTATGGAGATAAAGGGGGGCACTGGGTTTGCACCCATCACAGCTTATTGCACGCAGATCGGGGCTCAAAGCTATGGCAGGTCCTGCCTAGCTGCAACAGTTTGTTAAGAACCACGCTTTGTTTTGCACAACGTGCTCCTAGGGAGAGCCTTGTGTGCATCAAGGGGCGCAGCAGCAGCAGGACTGGGCTGGCACCAGGCTGAGCAACACTGCAGGCACAGGGCTGGGAGTAGTGGTGGGAGCAGGCTGTGGTCCTGCTGGGTGATGGGGGCAGGCTGTGGTCCTGCTGGGTGATGGGGGCAGGCTGTGGTCCTGCTGGAGCAATGGGGGCAGGCTGTGGTCCTGCTGGGTGATGGGGGCAGGCTGTGGTCCTGCTGGAGCAATGGGAGCAGGCTGTGGTCCTGCTGGGTGATGGGGGCAGGCTGTGGTCCTGCTGGGTGAAGCCAGGCCCAGCCCAGGACGCGCTGCTGTGCCCAGACGCGCCCTCACCCTGCAGCGTGGTTCCCATGCAACTGGAGCCTGCGGGTGAGTTCAACCCAATCAGGGCGTCTTTCAAGTCGGGCCGTGCCAGAAACATCAAGGGCACTGCAAACAAGTGCTGACAGGGCTGGGTGAAACGCAGCCGAAACAAAGCTGGGCGCTTCCCAGCCCTCCGCTCACACAACACAGCTCCAAAGCGCCGCTCCTACAGCTGCAGCCCTGCGAGGCGCACCCCAGCCCCGGGCAGCTGCTGGGAAGATGTTTGTTCCTCGAGGCGCTGGGATGCACCTTCAGCCTCCCACGGCCTGCTGGTACCCACCAGCAGCATGCTTGGTCTGTGAGTGCCATCTACAGGGTTCCCCAGCGCTGCCCTCCAGCACAGCACCCAACCCTGGAGCAAAGCAAAGCCCTCTGCTCCACTGCAGTGCCATGCGGTGCGATGCTGCGGCCAGCAGTGCTGCTGTGGTGGGGAGGAGGATGCAGGGACGCAAGCAGGAGCACAGAAATCACAATGCTGCCATGGAGAGGATGGGGGCAGCCCTGCAGGGATGAGCCGGACAAGGGATGAGGTGAAGGTGAGGACGAGGAGGAGACCTCAGCAGGTTGGAACAAACCTTGAGAGCACCAGTGGGGGGTGAGCAGTGGGCATGGAGAGAAGTGCGACAACATGGAAACAACACACGTTTGTCTCGGGATACAACGGGGGGGGGGGGATGCTGTAAACACAAGGAAAGTAAAACAACCGATCGATACGGGACTGGTTGCTATTTAAAAATAAATCAACAACTCGAGCAGGAGGGTGAAAGCCCAGCTCCTCGTTCCTGAGAGCACAGCCAACACAATGCACTCGAGTGCTGTTTTATTGACTTCTTGGCAATCTGCTCAGCCCACAGGTCCATCTCCAGAGCTCTAATGCTGCGGATCCCATTCCAGTCACATGTGCAAACGAAACAAAACAGAGGGACGTTATTAACAACAGAGCCCCGATGCTCATCTCGCTCTCAGTCGATCTCATTAACATCCGCAGACACCCAGTCGATTTGCCTAGCAGCTCGATATCCATAGCTGAGGACTCGATGCAGCCCTCCAAGAAGATCAGAGAGGCAATTATGTAAACTTCTGACATTAGGCTTTGGCTTAAACAACAGCGATTGTTTCCAGCCAACTCTGCAGCAGCTGTTTGTGGTGCACAGGAGCCCATGGTGTGCAGCACCGCAGGGCACCACGCTCCCACCATCACCCCACTGCATTGGTCCCAACAGCTCTGGGCCCATTGCATTAGTGGGCTCAGAGCACACGTGTGTCTGTTTGCATCTGTGTATTTACATCCATCCTGAACAACTGTTACCAGTTCTGAGCTCTGCTCAGAGACCTTTGCTGGGCTACTGGCATGTTGGCATGCAGTGACTGAGGCTGCAGAAGTAACTGCAGGGATGCAGCACAAGGATGAGAAGAGGCTGTTCCAATGGGACCCTCCGGGCCCCACGATGACTGCCCCTGGTTTTGCACTTCTCCTGCAACACTCCCATTTATTTTTCCAGTAGAAATGGTGATCAGGCAGAGCACAGCTACAGCTCTGTCCTCGGAGCAGCTCTCATCTGTACCGTGCACTGCAGCAGCCCTGGCGCTGTAGCAAAGTGTGTCACTGCTGCTCCATGGAGGCACCCCTCTGCTCCGCTCTTTTTGGCAAGTAAGGCTTCCTCCCTTATCCACAGAGGAGGTCCAACCCAACGCTAGAAGCCATCACTCCATTACTCCAAAGGCATTTTCAATCCTCACCATGAAGGCAAAGCCTTACAGCTGGAGGAACTCCTGCAGGCAATTCTCCCAACAAAGGCACTACAGTGTGGGGCTGAGGGATCCAGCTCTGCACCACCCACCCCGCTGCATCCCATCCCTTCGGGGCTGAAAGCTGCAAACGAAAGCACTTGGAAAGCAGTTCCCACCATTTCAGCTGTGATTCCCCCAACAACGACCCTCTAAGGGCCACATTCAGCCCTGCACCGAACCCAAGCACCAACACAACTGCTGTTCCTTCTGCTGTGATGGGACACAGCTGGAGCACAGCCATTGGGGAACAGCAGCATCTCCAAAGGGAGATGATGTCTGAGCAGATCCAGAACCGCAGCTGAGAGGCTCTGGCTTCTCCCATCCCTTACACAGCAGCTCGGGGAGGACACGCGTTTCTCCTGGCCACCCTCGGGGTGCAGAACACCTGTGCGGCCCCACAGACCAACTCATACGTTTTTGTTTGCAAACATCTCTTTGTTTTGTAAACCCACGCAGGGATTTATGCCATCATCCACTCGCTGCCAACCCTGCTGCTTCCAGAACGCCTTCAGCTCGCTGCTCCCTCCCAAAACTCCTCTGTCTGATCTGAGGGATGCTGCTGCCCCAACTCTACCACGGGGTGCAGCCGATGGCACACAGCAATCCAAGGAAGGGACCAGACATCACGGAAGGGAAAACTGAGCCTGCCAAGCTGCTGCCACAGTCAGAGGAGCACCCAAAAGCCCCAGGCAGGCCGTGGGCACAGATGTGCAGCTCTCAATGCCAAATGCAGAGCGTTCACCCCAGAGTCACTTCTGTTACGTCTTCCTGAGCGTCACCCCACACAGCACTCAGCGCAGAGTCCTCTGCAGCTCCACCTCTCCCCAAAAAAGACGTGTGAAGGAAACAGTTTTGGTCCCCTTTGCCCTCCCCAGCGACCAAAGAGTTTGTGCTGTTAATTCGCAGTCATTATAAGCAATTATTATCAAAACTAAAACTGGAGCGTCGGTGATCCCAGCGGATGACTTCGCACCCCTCGCTCAGTCTGTGCAGTTGTGCCACTGGTCCCAAATCATCTGAAAAGAAAGAAAACGCACAACGTGAGCACAGCCACCAGCACTGCTGTGCTCACAGGACACCAATCCTCAGCTGCGAGGGGGAATCCTACAGAGCAGCAAAGCTGTGTGAAGCAGGGAATGAGGGCAGCTGTGCAGGCAGCAATGTGCGTCCAGCAGCGAGCCGGGAGCCACAGCAGCTCCTCCTGCCCTGCAGGGCCGTGCGGCTCTGTCCCAAAAGCACGAAGCAAGATGGGCACGGGGCCTTCAGGGTCTGACAGCGAAGGGAGGTGACGTAAAGCTGAGGTTCACCCCGCGTCCCTCTGGTGGCAGTGTGGGCGCTTCCCCGGAGGACAAGAGGAGCAGGGGATGCTGCTTACCGCCGCAGGTTCTGCGTCTCAAACACGGTGTCCTCATCGCTATCCAGCGATGCCATCTCCACGCGTTCATCGGAGCTGCTCAGCAGACCGTACTTCTTCCGCTGCGGTTTCTTCCACCTGAAAGTCGCGCTCGGTTCGCGTCTTCGTCCGTCGGGCCGGGAGCTGCGGGTGGGACGCAGCACAGCGGATGGGGTTTAATTGTTAGCGTTCATTAACGGCGACGCGGGGCGGTTGTGTCGGGATGGGGAAGTGCTGCGATGCAGCGCCGTGATGGAGGAAGGAGGAAGGGGAACAGGGGGGGTCCGGGTGGACACGGGGGGGGGGGGGTCCGCACTCACCGGAACGTCCTCAGCACAAAGTAGAGCGCGGCCAGCACCGACAGAGCGCTGACCACAAACACGGCGCGCCGCAGCACCGGCAGCCCCGATGCGGGCAGCAGCCCCGCGCCCGTCCGCGTCCCGTTCCCTTCCTCCGCCCGCGGGGTTTCCGTGCCGTTACTGGGGGACGCGGCGCGGCCGCCGTGCAGGAGCAGCAACAGAACGCAGATGGGCTGCGGGAGCAGCATGGCCGGCACGGAGCTGCGGTCCCGGCGCAGGAAGGTGCGCGCACAGCGGGGCCGGGCGCGGGCGGAGCTGAGCGCGGTGTTCCGGGGCTGCGCCGTTCCGCCGCTCCGCACCGGGAGCCCCGCCGATAAACGGAGCGTGGAACGCCGTTCCCCGTGGCCGCGATGTTTCCCATCCCGGTTCTATCTCCTGCCGCCCAACGAAGCGTTCCAGTCGGGGAAATGAGCGCCGTTCCGACCCCGATGGGGGGGAGGCTGAAGCGCTGACTGCCCGCTGAGCCACCCGGGGGATGCTGTGCCTTCCAGCTCAGAAAGCAAACGGGATCCTGGGCTCCATCAGAAGAGAAGAGGCCGGCAGGGACAGGGAGGTGATTGTCCCTCTCTACTCTGCTCTTGTGAGGCCCCATCTGCAGCACTGCGTCCAGGTCTGGAGCCTCCAGTACAAGAAAGACAGGGAGCTGCTGGAGAGGGTCCAGAGGAGCCACAAAGATGATCAAGGGGGTGCAGCACCTCCACTGCAAAGGCTGAGGGAGCTGGGCTTGTTCAGCCTGGAGAAAAGAAGGCTGCGGGGTGACCTCAGTGCAGCCTGCAGTGCCTAAAGGGAGCCTGATAACAGGAGGGGAATCAACTCTATGAAAGGTTTGCTAACTGCAGGACAAGGGGAAATGATTTGAAGTTGAGGGAGAGGAGATTTGGATTGGATGTCAGGGGGAAATTCTTTGCTATGGGAGTGGTGAGGTGCTGGAACAGCTGCCCAGAGAGGCTGTGATGCCCCGTCCATCCCTGGAGGTGTTCAAGGCCAGGTTGGATGGGGCCCTGGGCAGCCTGGGCTGCTGTGAAATGCGGAGGTTGGTGGCCCTGCGTGTGACAGGGGGTTGGAGATTCACGATCCTTGAGGTCCCTTCCAACCCTGGCCATTCTGTGATTCAGCTGTGCCGGCCCCAACCCAACAGCGGATCATTAAACGCAGCGCCTCAAAGCGAACAGCCTGCGGTGATTCCCGCCGCATTGAAGCATCCCATTGAGGACCATCGGGGTCGTTCAGGTAACGCTTTGTGTCACCACGAGGTGCGAGTGGCTCTCAGTGCCACGGGCTGCTGCCATTTAAATCAGCAAAGCTTTCTTCGCTCTCCCAGTCCCGCATTTAATATCGCCTCCAGGAACCATCAGAAGTGAGAAGAAGGAATCGCTACACACAGCAACCCCCCCCCAGTTCCTGCTTTTTAACTCTGATCTTTCGGATAATAGGTTTGAAAAAGAGAGAGAGAAAAAGCGGCGTAAAGCAAGAAATGCGTCCTTCTAACACGAGAGCAGAGCAGCAGCGCAGCACCAAACCTGCATTTGCCCTCTGCCAATACAACACCCTCCCTGCTTCACCCCCAGCGCCATTTCTCCCCGTTGAAACACAGCAGCTCTTCAAAAATAAAAGGCACCATCAGCTAACGAGACGGCAGCGTCTTTTTTTATTGGCCGTTCTATTCAAATGCCAAAGAAAAGCCACACAAAACCGCACCCTCCCATTGGCGGCCCACGATTTTTTTGATCTCAGGCTGTTTTCCATTTGCTCCTACCAGCAAGGCTTGGCTTTGCTTCGAGCCTGCAGCAGCTCCTGATGGCCACACAGCACTGCTTTGTACTGCAGCAGCTCCTCATATCCACACAGCACTGCTTTGCACTGCAGCAGCTCCTCTTGG